CTCCAGGCGGCAGCCCCACGCCGAAAGGGCAGCACACACAGCCGAGGAGAGGACTTGGGAGGACAGCCTCCGTGGGGCAGGGAGGTGATGGGGGATGGCTGAGGGCCCCTGCCAGCAAGCCTCCATCCTCTTGTTTTTGGAAAGATCACCTGGCATCCTGTCAGGACTCAGGCAGGCTTCAGGCTTCAGCGGCTGGACTGTGTGGACAGGGCAGGGCCTGCAGAGCACCTGGCCGTGCTGATGCCCTCTGGGGCTTAGCACCCTTTTTAATGAGCACCTCCTCGATGGATTTTTGGGGAAATTTCCAATCTTTACTGTTCCTAACATATACCCCATTGCAGGCATTAGCTTATAATTGTAGGATAAATTGCTAAGAACAGAATTGTGATGAAGAACTCGGTTCCGACTTTGAACATGCTGTCCTTGTGCCGTGTTAGTTACAGCCCGACCAACAGTGTACGAAATACTTCTGGTCTCTTCATGTCCACGCCAACATTAGAGAGTCCCTGGTCTTTGTAATGTACAGCAAAAATATGATTGTGGCATGAATTTGCATTCTTTTATTTATGTGTGAGGTTGAATATCTTTTCATGTGGTTGAGAACAATTTGTGTTCTTTACCAATTTCTCCACTGAGTTACCTTTTAAAATTATTTGTAGGAGTTTTTTATTTGTTAATTATATTTTGAGGTACTATTCCACATTATTTGGGGCAAGGCAGTATCATTATATATGTATTATTTTGTAGAAGGTCATGTGGATTTTTTTTCAAATATAATATGGACATTTTTCATATATTTTATCTCCAGGTTTCTGAAATTTTTGTCAGACTTAGAAGGAATTCCCAGTCTTCAATTATAAAAATACTGTCTCAGATATTCTTTATAACTTTGATAAAATTTATGTTTGGAGATATATGCATACACATGTATTTTTAAGTGCTTAGATTTACTTTAATGTAGTTTTCTTTAAGAATCATTAGTAAATATATTTTTTGTAGAATGCCTTTTCATTATTATGACACAAAAACTTGTAAATCATGTATTTTTACAGTATGTTTTTAATGATTTTGGTGCTCATCAGATGTCTATGTAGGTCAAGATTCCTGAGTGCACTTGACAAGGGAAGACTTCTCAGATTACAAGGATCCCACGGAAATGGGACCCCACTAAGATCCTAAAGGTACCCCTTTCTAAAGCCTTCCTGTCCAGGCCAGAGTGAGTGAATTGTTAGCATCTTTTCCACAGGCATTTGGAGAAAATCGCACAGGCTGGGTGAAGTGAACTGGGAGGGCATCCCCATGAGAAGCACAGGATCCACATTCCTTCTCCTTTTTATTTGTTTGGCCAGAGAGTCTATGAGCCCTGGTCTGAGTTACCTTCTAGGTGGGAGGACGAGCAGGCGACAGCCATGCCTCAGTGTGTCCAGTTTCCCCCTAGATGCCTCCTAGAGGGCTTTACGGTGCCTGGTTGAAATCCTTAAGGTGGGATACGATGGTGGGATGAAAGTTACCATATTTTCTTGCCACATATTACATACAACGCTAACATGTGAAGAGGAGCGTAGATTTCCACAGCTCAGTGAGCCCTGCCTCGAGACTTGGCAGCGCCCAGCTCTGGAGGGGCAGTCCTGGGATGCAGGGGCTGGCGCTCTGTCACCCCTCTAATAGGCATCCAGGGTGCTCACGTGTAGACCTGGTCCATGGCTGAAGTCAGATCAATGACCTAGGTTCTGATTGATGCACAACGTTGTTATAAAATAAACTTTAAACCTAGATATGTTATTTAGCCCCATTTCTTCCAGTAGGATGATGACACTGCTTCTGGGTACCAGAGTTTTCATTCTCCAGGTTTACACCTCTGCTTGTGGTTAAGTGGTGATTAGAACACAGGACCCCTGCCTGTCCCAGTGCTCCATCTCCACACAGCCATTAAGGTCAATCTTCAATGGCTGAAGGGCTCCAGGGCTGGAGATGTCTCCCGGCATGACCACTCTAGTTTCCCAGCATCACCAGCATCTTAATGGCACTCTCTGTCCTCGTCTATGGTCCCTGGAGCAAGCTGGCTGCACGCTGTGGGAGGGGCTTGGATTCTTGGAAGCCGAGTTTGATGCGTTGGCACACGTCGAGGTGCTTCGTTCCTAGAAAACACTCAGCACGAGGCACAGTGAAATGCAGGCATTTCCTGAAGGAAGTTGTTCCAGTTCCGTAAGTTGAGTGACATCACTGGCTTTCCGTTTCCTAAATGACGTTCACACTAATGCCACTCGGCTGAGATCCCAAGCGATTCTCTACACACAGGAACCCAGACAGGAAGGCACAGGCTTGGAAATAAACTCCAAATCAGGCAACTGGGTGAGTTTAGACCCTCTCTTAGACCAGAAAGGTATTTGGAAAAATGGTGAACCTTAAAGGCGAGTTTGTGTTTTCTGACATCCTCAAGTTCCTAAATGACAGATCTTAGCTTTAAGGTAATTCCAATGTTGTGCATATTCTTTGCTTAAATTTCAGTCTCTTAAACAACATTGACAAGGAATAGTGATCGATATTCATAGATTTCCAGTTATCAGCAACTCAAAAAATCCTACCTGCTATTTTTCTGAGTCAAGGAGTGACAAATTCTCTTTTGAAGTTAATGGGTGTTATATCTTAGCAACAGGATGCTAAACAAGTCAGGATCAAAAGAGACCTTCATTACAGCTCATGACACTGATGGGGAAAATGAGTCAGATCCTAATTTTTAAATTTTTCATCTCCTTCCACTGTCCTACTGTGTGTCCCACTGGTGATTGGCTCTGTCCCCAACAGAGCCTCCTGCCAGCTGCCCAGCACACCTGCCTGTCACCTGCCCATGGGTCCCAGTGACTCGCTAGTGGGTCTAAAGTGCTGTGTGCAGACGTTAGACTGCGCTCGGTCACCTGCTAGATTTCTAAGGGCAGACGTCTGGACCCTTGTCCCTGAGTTTCTGATTCAGTAAGTCTAGGTGGGATCTGAATATTTTCATTTTTAAAGAATCTCAGGCAGGCTAATGGGGCTGGCTTCTGAAACACACATTGATAAGTACCAAGCAAAAACATAACCTGGCTGGGCTGCTCTCCTGCAAAACGTCCATTAGTGGCTCCTCGTCCCCGACGTGTAAGTTCCTCAGTGTGGCTCACATGGCCCAGCACCACCTGGGTTGCCCTGAATTGATGTTTTCTCTCTCACCATCCCTGCCTCAAACAGTACGTTCTCACAGTTCACAGCCTGGCTGTTCAGGATGTGACCCATGTACACACAAGTGTACAAATAAAATTACTTTACTGATCTACAGTATCTAGATACCATTTACAAATACTAGTAACATGTAAATAGTCTTGTAAATTCCATGACTACCGGATTCTTGTAGAAAGTGTTGGCTGATTTTTACTGAGGTCTTTTACCTGCTATCACCTACAGATCCTGTCAGATATTCATTTTTCATTTTGTATTTTTATCAGTCCTGCACACATGTAAAAATATTTTTGACAACCAAGCTGGAGGAAAATAGGTTCCAAGCCAGACTTGGCCCACAGGCTGTAGTTTGCCCATGCCTGGTCAGCAATCAACAAAACAAACCAAACCCTAATACAAAGAATTTGCCCACAGTCGTGGCATCGATGTTCCCATCGTGGTGGGCTTCAGATGTCGCAGAGAGACCCCTGCATGGAGCTGGCGTGATGCACCCTGCAGCTGCTCGGTGTGAAGTCCCTACCGCACAGACATGGCAGAGGTGGAAACCCTCCACAGTGTGTGTAGGAGACAGGCAGGCATTGGGTGATACATGACGGAGGCATGACAGGTACATGGGTTGCAGCTATTGTAGTAAAATAACAGGAATCAATGAATGCATCACTTTTAAGAATACTTCCCTGAACTGTACAGTTCTGTAACTTTATTTTCAATCATGGTGGAGCATACCAGCCAGTCCACAAAGTCCCTGAAAACCCACCAGCTGGCCCCCACACACCACCATCGGCCCTGAGTGAGCCGCACACGCAGGGCTATGACAGCGGGCGCCCTGCGGCGCTCCAGGGCCTGCCTGCCTTCCGCGCCTTCCCCATCGGGCTCAGCACTACTTTTCTTTGTGCTGCGGGGCACTGCTGACGGCCGCCGCCCTGTGTCTGGGTGGCCCGAGGGCCTCTTCCCAGCACCCCTGCACCGCCGGTGGCCCTCCCCGGGGACCTCCCGCCTCCGCGCACAGGAGCAGCTTCTTCCAGCCTGCCTCTGCCATCAGACGGTGAGCTCCTGCAGCTCAGGGCTCTGCCTCCGTCCTCTCTGTTTGTTTGCCTAGAACAGAGCCTGGTATGCAGTGGGGGCACAGTACATGCTCCTTGAACCGAAGTGCTGGCAGGAGTGGGTAACTCTTGGCTGCCAGCCTGAGGAACTCCAGGCAAGCTTCCTATGTCGTAGACAAGGGGCATCCCCAGCCTCTTCCGCAGGATAGCAACTGCTCATATGGTTTGTCAGACGTGTGGGGAATGAAGGCTGAAAACAGCTTTTATATATATATATATATGTATGCAGATGTTAGATTCCTTTGGATCATGTTTATAATGTCTTATTTATCATGGTATAACTGACATAAAGCATTATATGAGCATAAGTTCTATATTTTTCATTATCCCAGCTAACTGAAGATGATTTAAAAAAAAAAAGAATGACCGAGTGTAGCCAAGTGACTAGACAGGGTACAGGGAGACCACACGCAGAAGACACCTGGCCGGCGCCCAAGGACCTGCTGGTTTCACGATGCACACAGTGAGTTGAGGCTCAGGGGCCACCACCAGGACTCACTGCATTCTCCCCAAGCCCCCTGCTCAGACACCCCAGACTTCTCCGGGTCGGCTGCCTGCACCTGGACAGACGGCAAGATACGCTCAGGGTCACAATAATGAGGCCCCACATCCTGTCCAACTGCTCTTTTGTTTATTCATCTTCCTAGAGCTGAGCAGGGCCTGCAGACCTGTGGGGAGTCAGCTCACCTCGTAGTCGATGTCCAAGGTGTCTGCCTCGCCCTTGGTCCGCAGGTGCAGCGTGTGCTTGTCCACCGTGAAGTTCACCTGCTTGCCCGCCCGCTCGATGAGGACCGAGTGCCAGTGCTGGTCGTCCAGGACGCTGCCCAGGGTGGCCGAGGGCGGGCTGCTGCCGAGGCGAGCTTTGCTGTCATCTGTGAAGGGCAGAGAAGACGGGATGGTGTCTGTGCCCAAGGGCAGCCCGCAGCACGGGAATGTCCCGCACAGCAGGCCCGCTCCGTGCATCCTGGAGGTAGAGGACCAGCATCTATCTCTCTGCAGAGCAAGGCCATGCTGGGCTTGGAAAGACATTCCAAGTTCTGCCCACAGATTCTAGGACCACATCCTAGGCCAGCTGGTAGACATGCCCCCTCTGGCCGGGCAATGAGATGCTTGCAGGACTTGAACAATAATAAAAGGAATAGGACACCGAGTCTTAGCGAGGGGAAGCACGCCCCAGAGGTGCAATCAGGGTTCAAATCCAGGTTTTCCTGGCCCTCTTCACTGTGAGGTGGGTTCTCTGTGCCCAACCTGAGCGTGAGGACGTCACCCCTGGACACGTGAGTGATTCAGGAGGAGACGTGCATTTCCTAATGCTTTTCCCTCCTGCCTGCCCTTCAGTTACAGGGAAGTTCCTGCAGATGCCCTTTGTCCAAAAGATCACAGCTTTTTTTTTTTCCCTGAAGAATGCCTCAGATTCGGCAAAATGAACATTTAAATGAAACTAATTAAGATTTATATATAAACTTGCAATTTTTCAAATTTTTACTATTTGGTACCCTTACTCACTGAGAGATAAATGTCTCTCCTCTCCTAAAATACGTCTGACAAGGACGGCTGCCCCAGCCTGCTCCTCGGTGGGCACTGAGGGGGACGAGCTGCCTCTCCCTGTGGGCCATGTGCTGCACCTCCGCCATGGCCCCAGGTCACACCTCCTGTCCCTGCGTCACACCCGTGGCTTCAGTGGGGTCGGAGCATCAGTGTCATGGCTGCAAAATTGGAACGGTGAGCTCACAGCAGACGGATTTCCCTGACGTCTGCACTGCTCACTCATTCCCCAGTTCTGAGATGTCACAATTTGTCAAATTATGATAATGAATGAACGGATCCTCTTCCTTCTTCTCTCCTCTCTCTCCCTCCCTGCACCCCTCCCTTCCTCCTGTCCTTCCCGAGAAGGCACCACTGTCTACGGGTTACGGTGATGGCAGGTGACAGGGAAATGCAGGAGACAGAGCTGAAGGGACACTCCACTTATCAGACATTTTGAAAAAAAAAAACACCATATTTTAGTTTGTTTTCTTAGGACAGATTTCCAGAAGTTAGGTTACTAGGTAAAAATTAAGACTTTTTTTAAGTTCCTCAATATCTCCTGACAAATGTTTTTTGAAAACATCGAAATATCTTATTTCCATCATTTTGAAAGAGAGAAAAATACTTGAATAAACTTGGGTGGGATCATTACACAGAATACTATATACGCAACTAAATGATATTTAAGAAGTGCTTACATGCATTTCAAGTCTGCTCAGTAATGATAGCCAATTTTTGATAAAATGAAAAAGTAATATTTAATAAAGAGGATTTCAATAATTTATGCCTTATTGATTTGAAATATATAAAAGCAGGATAGAAAATATAAATATAGATAGAACTATGAAAAAGAAACAGTAAGTACATGAGGTGAGCACCTTACGTATGTCCTTTGAATTACTCCCGAGCACAGCGCTGCAGAAAGTCCCCTCTCGGGTAAGCCCTGGGACGCACCCAAGGACACGCAGGGTCGGTTACGACCCAGCTCTACTGGACTGCGAAGCTGATATTCTCACCACTGCACCATAACAAAATCACGCCCCCACTCACACCCACTTCTTGTGCTGACCATGTGTAGACCCCGTACACATGTGTAAGCTATGGAGACTGTAGGAATGCAGGGTCTCAGAAGAATTTAATGGATCAGAAAGCAGAGAGCTGCAGAAAGGAAAAACGAAAATGAAACGCCTTTGTGAGAGGGCGGGATGCAGAATGAGAAGGCATGGCTGGCCTCCACGGCCTCTCCTATACCATGAAGAACCTCCTTTGGCAATACGAGGGCTACTGAATGTTCTCCTAAATACCCAAGAGACCTTCTGAAGATAACAAGCAAGTAACAAGAAGCCATGTGATTCTGGTGTGCTTCACCTCAAACTGGAGGAAATCCCTGTGCATCACTATAGCAATGAAATACATGTCTTTAGTTGTTGGGAAATCTATACATTTTATTCAACAAAATATTGTCCAGGTTTAGAGGTCCTTGACAAAGTCTGGCCCCTAATTCATACCACCTTCTATGGCTTTGCTGCCTTAATGTGTGTGGTTTTGGTGACACATTATTATATATTTTGATTAATGTTATAAAATAGAAAAGTAAATAGAAATAATTGTATTACCAGCTGGGAGCTCTTTGAAAGAGGGACCAGTGCATCTAACTCATCACCACCAATGCCTCGCTTGGTGTCGGAATTAATGTACTGGTTCAACAAATTCTCACTGCATAAGTGGCAAGATTTATGAGAAAAGTGGTGCACGTGATCCCATGTTGTCTGAAGAGCCTGTCTTCCTCTTCTTTTTACTATAAAATCCAGACAACTCGAGGTTAACCCATGAAGACTTTCTGGGCCCCTCTTCCCCATGCTGATCTCTCCATTCCCGCAATTCAACACAGGAATATCAGCTTCCTGAAACTTAACATGTAATTGTTTTGTGGGGTTTCGTATCATTTTAATTATAAACGTCAGGACCCTGGGGTAGGACTGGAGGGGGCTCTAGTCCCAGGTCTACAGTCACACAACCCTGTGACTTGGAGCGACTCACAGAGCATCACTGATGCCAGTTTCTTCATCTGTAAAATGGGTGTGAATACAGTTTGTAGGCTTTTCACATGATTTAAATGAAATACATATTTTCCTAACACACTGTGTAAGTGCAGACTCTCTAAAGATGGCAAATTTTAAAAAATCTTCCACAGAATTTAGTACAAGTTTAGAAATATGATACATATTTTACAAATACATGTGGCTTGGCTTACTCAAACATCAGAATTTCAAAACAGCTAAAGTAAATGTCCACTCGACTCTTTGACTCTTTGGAGAATGTGCAAAGCCTTCCCTAAGATCTCAACACATCCCAAAGAGTTGGTTACACAATCAACATCTGGCCTCTGAGCGCTGTACTGGGCACCCCAAGGACGCTGCCCTGTGCGTGTTCGTGGTGCTGAAGGGCTATCACACTATTCCTGCAGCACTTGACTGGAGGTGGGACAGGCACTGGCCACTTCGAATGCACTGCACTCTCGAAAGGATGGGTGACCGGTGTGTCTTGTTCAGTTCTTACAACCGTTCCCCAGTCACGTAATACCTCTGCTCTTTGATTCTCCCACCGGCATGCATGGGTTCCTGCCTTCGGAATCCCACAGAGGGCAAACTGCCACGGGATCTCAACGAGGTGTGTACAAAGTAGGAAGAAGGATTTTTTATGATGTCTGTATGGATTAAGAGATGAAATCTCTTCCCCATTAGCAGTTCTAGAAAAACCATCACTTTACAGTAAGAAAGTGGTCAAAGGGCAGCCATCCAGTTAGATTTCACCACAGAATGGACCTGACCATGTCGGCCATGGTGGGGGCAGCTAGGTGACGTCAGAGTCAGCAGAGACCGTTGCTGGAAAAGAACCGTGCCCTCCGTCTCCAAGGGCCGCCCTCAGCAGCTGGCCGTGGCACTGAAGCCTTCCTGACCCTTCCCCTGAGTATGTGAATTGCAGAGTCACAGGTTAAAGAATGTCCCCTGAGGAACAGTCAGGAAGGGAACCCTGGTGGAGCACACGGGGCCCGGAAGGTGGAGCGTCCTCCCCCGCCAGCCCAGCCCCCTCTTTGAAGTATTGACTCACTCAAATATGTGAATTTTCAGATTCTCCCTCCCTCCCTCCTTCCTCCTTCCTTTCTCTCTCTCTCCTTCCTTCATTTATTTAATGATAAATAAATCTTTCTTGACTCATTATTAAAGAGAAAAATGGGTAATATGAACTCTTTTCACTTTGGATATGGTGTGGCAACTGGGAAAGAACATGCATTTACATGATATATATAATTTTCATGTAAATGATTAAGAAGAAACTTGAAAAATATAACAAAATTTTAATGGGGGATGATTGGTTTGTAAAATTTCAAGTGATTTTTTTTCCTTTCCTTCTTTATAATTGTTTTTGCTTACTTCTTTAGGTTTTCTAAGGCTGATATGTGTTTTATAATTTTGAAATAATAGCAAACCTGGTTAAATATAAGTAGATTTTAATAGTGATTGGGTAGATGAGTAGGCAGATAAATAAACAAGTAAATAATAGCCATTAGCTCGTAGCTCTCCCTACCTACCGATATTACTTTGTTTCAAAGAATGCTATCTGTGGTTTAACCTTTTCAAAATATAGTATCTTTCTTTTCTAACCTGGGTAAAGGAAATGTGTCCCTGAGGTTGGGCTCCAGTGCCTCCCACCTGATACACTGGGAGGGGTAGGAACTGCGGCCTTCTGCCAGGGGTGCTCCCCGCAGCCCGCCCGGGGACCTACCCAGGCTGAGGTGCAGGGCGAGCCTCCCCTGTTGGAGCTCCAGGCTGATGTGGTCTCCGCGCTGGCCTTCCCCATGGAACAGGACCCCGTCTCCCTGCATGCTCTTGAACCTCAGAGAGATCACGTCCTTGAGGGTGCTCATGAGCTTCTGGCTGAACCGGTACAGAAGGGAGCTTCGGCCATCGAAGTCAGCAATGTCCGATTCTGGGCAGAGAGAGAGAGAGGGAGGGAGGGAGAGGAGGAAGCGGACACACTCGTGACAGCCCCCGCCCCCTGTCCTCGCCGTCCAGTCCAGAGAAGGCTTCTTGACACCCGGAAGGTCTCATCGCAAAGGGAGGCATGTAGATGAGACCCAACCTGACTAGGCCAGGGGATCGTTCCTTTACACGCAGCCACCACGCACCGAGTCTCAGTGAACCAACCCCTCATCGGTCCTGAAGTAAAAGCTCTCGCTAGCGGCATGGCATGTTCTGCCTGCAGGGACAGGGTGGGAACTCCGCGAGTACCTACGTCACATGCCTGGATGTGATGATCTCACGTGATTCGCCTTCCTTATTAATTTGCTTCTGAGACTTGGAGCCATTTGACCCCCTCATCTCAGGATCAAGGTCAGAGACGAAAACTACAGTTTATTATTCCAACTCTGGCTGAATAACACTGTCTTCCTAGAGCCCTACGGAGAAGGATTCCGAGGTCTCCCCCAAGGCTCAGGGGGAAGGACACAGAGTGAAGGAAGATGTGCTGTTTGGACAGAGAAGGCGAACTTATTACCATCTCTGCCTTATCTCCTGCTGGTGATATATATTTAGTTTCTATACACAAAAATGTTCACTCATTATTGTCCAAGAGAAAAGAGAAGGTCATTTTCACGATTTAGATACGTATATGGTAGATGTGCATAAACATGACTGGAAACTTGGTGCCAAAAAGTTAATAGGGATTCTTGCCTCATCCAAGAATATGTACAGTTGGAAAATAAGTATGAGAAGACAACCCACATCACATGTGATCAAGGAAGTGCAAACGGAAACGGCAGAGGTGCTGCTGCACACCTGTTAAGCTGGGCTGAGCCTGAAACATTGGTGCACCGGATGCCGGCGAGGATGTGGGCGAAGGGAGCCCTCGTTCGCTGCCGGTGGGGGTGCGAAATGCTGCTGCGACTGTGGAAAACATTTTGCTTTGTTTTTTTTAACAAAACCGAACACACTCATACTTATTCAGCAACCTCACTCCATGACATTTACCCAAAGGAGTTGAAAGCTTATGACTACATGGAAATCGTCACATGGATGTTGATAGCAGCTTTATTCATAGTTGTCAAATCTTCTAAGCAACAAGGCTGCCCTTCAGTAGGTGGATGGATAAACCATGGTACATCACACAATGATACGTTATTCAACACTAAAAGGAAATGAGCTAACGAGAAACTTAAATGCATAGGACTAAGTGAGAAAACGCCATCTGGGAAGACCACTGTGTGATTCCAACTGTCTGACATTCCAGAAAAGACAAAATTACGGGCGCAGCAAAAAAAAACAGTGTTTTCTGGGGATTGGCAAGGAGGACAGGATGGACAGGCAGAGTACAGAGGATCTAGGGCAGCGAAACGCTCTGACACTGTAACGTGGGGCCCACATCACTCATATTTGTCTACACCCACTGAAAATGCATCGCCAATAGTGAAACATGATGTAAATTATGAGCTTGAGGTTACTGTCATGTGTCAATACTCAGCCATCAATCGCAGTGAATGTCCTACCTGGTGAGGGGTACTGACAATGTGGGGAGGGGGCTATGCATGTGTGGGGACAGCAGGGACATGGGAAATCTCTGCATCTTCCTCCTAATTTTGCTCTGAACCTGAAAACGCTTTAAAAAATTGAGTCTTTAAAAATAAGTTAACAGGGACTTTAGGTAGGAGGTGTTATTTTAGGTTATTTTCACATTATTTTTCCTGTTTTTAATTATACAAACTTTTACAAAGAACTTTTATTACTTTTATAATGGAACACATTAAGACTATTTAATATAACTTGAAGCAGATTCATTATACCCCATTGTTGTGGGTGGGATGGTGGTGAATGGGTGTATGGAGAGATGGGATTAGTCTTATTTAAAATCAAGCACACAGGAAAGCTCAATTTTTCATTATTCACCAAGCAATTAAAATCCTCAGCTTGAGCATACACAACGATAAATTAAGTTTTTTGTTTTGTTTTGTCCAAGGATTTAGAAATATCCTTTGTAAAGCAGAAATTCTGAAATGAAAATAAAAATGAAATCATACTTTTACTGTAATTAGTTTTCAATTGCAATTTCACTATTTGTTCTGGTGGAATAAAGTGATTCTAACCAAAAGGTTGCTGATGACTCCCTAGACCCCAAAAGAAACAGTCCTCATAGAGACAGATTTTCCAAACCCCAGCCTTCTCGGACCCTCCCCACACCACCCCATCCCTGTCCCTACATCTGTCCCCTCAACTGGACTCCACCCATCCCAGGTGCAGGCTGTGGCCACCGGCTATCATCAGTCTTGGAATACTGAGGGTCATCGTGTAGACAAGGCCATGGACTTTAAACTATGATAGCCTGTTAGCGGGGTCACCTCGGGCCACTCACCTCCCCAAGACTCAAGGTCCTCGTCTGGGAATGGCACGGTGGACGACCTTCAGGGAGCAGCGTGCAGACCACATGTGCTAATGCAGATACAGTGATGATCTGATAATCGGGCAAGGCAAGGCCCTCATGCCACCACATGTGTGCTAAACCAGTAATGGGGAGCGGGAGCATCAGCAGTGATTTGGGGAACCAGAGGGCCTCGTGTTCTCGTGTCCACTCGAGCGGCTGACACACCACCTTCTCACCCAAAATGATGCGAGGGCCCTCCTGGCTCAAGGGGTTCCTGCAGGAGACGCCACTGCCCCCCGCCTCCCCATTCCCTGTTCTGCCATATTGCAGCTTCCCCGGCTCTAGCTGGATCTCCCGTGTACAGGGCACATGCATTACGTGTGCTGTCTTCTGATCACCCCTCTGCCCCGGTGCCAGACTCCGGGTCAGGACCTGGGTCCTTAGGATCATTTGTGCTGAGGGAACACAGCCCATGGCACGTACAGTTCCTGGACAGCGGTGCTAAGATGATGGCATGGTATGAGCTAAATAGGGCAACACAAAGCCAGAACGCTTCGCCTGTCTGTGGGAGGGCAGCACACGCTTCTGTGAGTACGCAGGGGACTTGTTACTGCCCGAAGACCCGGCTGGGGCCGCGGGCCTCCGTCTGCAGGGCCTGGGCCGCGTCTCCTGCAGGCCCTGCCCTCTGTCCCCTCTCAACCTACATGGCCTTGCGATCTCCATTCCATTCCCACAAAGTCTAGCTAACCCAGTGATGGAATGGAGCCTAGTAGTGCTGATGGCTAAGTTACCTCTAAGACGACACCTTTCCACGTTGCCTGCCCCCTGGGCAGTCAGTGAACCAGACACAACACACCTTGGACGTCTGACAGGCTTGGGGCTCTCATCTGCTCTGCTGCTGCCTAGCTGGAGGACTTGAGGCAACTGTCCTGACCTCTCTGAACTCAGTGTTCCTGACTGTACAGCAGGGCTGAGGGAAACCGTCCTACAAGTCACCGTGAGAACACGACCACACCTGGAAATGGGCAGGCGCTCGACAGCGTTCTGCTCCCTCGTCCCGACGCTAATCAGAAGGAGTGACTGACTGGTGAGCTGAAGCCCAGAGTAAAGATGCCAGGGGAGCGCGGGGGGACAGAAATCTGGGTTTGGGGCTCAGCCTCCTCCCATCCCGCTGAGCAGACGTGCAGTCAGGCCGCCTCATTCCCCACCCGCCAGTCTCACAGTGACCTCATCACGGCCTCCACTCCTCTGACCCGTTCTCTCCTCTTCACCAAACACAAGAAGCGCCACTGTTGCCAAAGCCCTCCCGGATCTCCCTTGGCACTGAGAGTCCACTGCCGGGCCCCGCGTGCTCTGTTCTGTCCACCTCCCACCTCCTCCTCCAGGACCCTGGCCGGCTCTGAGCAGCGTTTCCATCAGCACATGTGCATGGGCGCCCGATGCCCACCAGGCCAGGTGGGGGCTGGGGCAAAGACCACGGGCACAGCATGCCTCTGCCTGGGATGCTGGGGGACTTCCTGCGGGCACTCACCCTCCTGCCCTGTGAGGCGCACTCCTTTGTTGTTCCTCTTCACAAACAAGGACACACGGGACGGGAGGTGGCGACGCAGCAGCTAGCACATGGCAGAGCCAGGTCCCACCCACACCAGGCTGCCAGGCTGTCCAGGGGCTACTCCACACTCAGATGGCCAGTCAACCCCAGAGGCTTGGCACTGCCCCTCACAGTCTCCTCCTTGGCTCAGCCTCCCATTGCCCGCCCCAAGCCTGCCTCCCACGTGGCCTTTGCTCCTCAGCCAGTTCCTGGTTTGGGTCAGCCCAGCGGTGCAGCAGGACAGGGGCCAAAATGCTCCAACGGCCCCCTTAACTCAGGGCAGCACCGGGCCTGGAAGCTCCTGCTGTCCAGGACACCTGTGAATCAAAGAGTGACCCAAAGAGGTGCCTGCGCCCAGGGTAAAGCTCCTGACACTGTCCTGTCTTCCCTGCACCACCTGCTCCCCCATAGCTGCACTGCCCACCCACACCAGGAGGGCTTCCCTCCCAGGGCCCAGGGGACAGGCGCCCTTGAGGTCAGGGAACAGCCTGGGGAGAAGGGGAGTCTCCTCCTGCACCGCCAACCCCTGGTGAGACCTAGAGACGCAGGCAAACACCCTTTGCAACGTGTAGTCACACGCAAACTGTGCAGGTGGTTTCACAGAAGGAGAAACAGAGGGTTACCAAAATGCTTCTAGTGTTACAACCTTCCCCAGCTGCATGCGGCAGACACTCCCTGCAGGCGCCGGCTTGGCGACTCACCCCGCATCCCCCACGTCAACTGGCGGGGCAGACTCGGCAGAACCGCGGCCAAGGCCCAGGCGTTTGCATTGTTGCAGCTCCAAACAAGACTATTGCATGACACGCTGGGTTTTCTAATTATGTGTTATTGTAGCCACTTAGTCTGAATTCTCTTGTTTGGCACTTAATTTGTGGCCAGGCTGGGAGGGGAGATGCCGGGTGGTCAGCCTGAGGGAGGCACCTGAGTCCACAGAGCTCTATAAACCCAGCAAGGTGTGTGGACAAGTACAGGGAGGGAGGGAGGGAGGGGGTGCTTCATTGCGAGGACTTGCATGGCCGTGGGGGCCCGCCAGGGCAGGTCTGCGCCCACGTGCAGGGCAGGTGTCAGGGGGCGCAGGGTGGACCTGCTCAGGCAGAGCTGGGGCTGCTGTGCACGGGCTGACCTCCCCCCGGGAACCCTCAGTCCCGACCTCAGGCCTTTCACCTGGCCGATCACTCACCCCGGCTGCTTACTTAGGGCCAAATGACTGCAGGTGCTGACCACAGCTGGGCACCCGGGATGGCCCTTGGTGGAGAACTGAACAGCCTGGCCACGAGGCACCAACCTGACAGCACCTTCTAGAGGTCCAACAGGCTCAGCTGCAGCCTGAAGGTGAACAGGTGCTGACGGTCCCTAAGGGCAAGTTTTGGGAGAAGCCAGTGTGTGAAGGGGGAGGGGGGGACCAGAGAGGGAGGGGCTGGGGGGCCATCAAGCCTCTACTGCTGTTTCGTCTGATGCTCCTGCAGCCACGTCTCTCGGTCGTGGGGTTGGCCCAGGGCAGCAAGGGCCAGGAGGCTGCTGAAAGGCAGGACTTGAAGTCCACGGCCACGCCGAGGCTCTGGCTTTAAGAGAAGTGGCAAGTGTGTCCCTTTTTCCCAGAGGGAATCACACACATGGCATCTAGAGCTGGGGGCTGGGACTGTCAGCTCCAGCGACCTCAGAGGAGGTCCCCGAGTTCAGAAACATGCCATCGCACACAGCCTCGTCCTGCAGGCCTTTCCCTGTGCAGAGCATGCCCTCACTCACCTGGGGAGGCCTGGAGGGGACCCCGTGGGGGACTGGGCAGCCCCCAAATCAGGAGCTCTTAGCACAGCCAAGAATCGGGGGGTAGCAGGTCTGGGAACCTCCTTGTACTATACAAAGATTTGCTTGTAGGAAAATGTTACTGTGGGCACTTGTCTAAGAGAGGTTCCTTGCTGCCATCAGCTTCCCAAAGGGGTCCACCTCCAGCAAAAGGTCTCCATGCTGCTCGGAGGCCTCTGCCAACCTTGCAGCCTGGCACTGAACTCAGAACAACGTGCCTGTAAAACACCGTCAGCAGACCGGGCAGAGAGAAACAGTGAGGGCATGTTAGAGTCTCAGGGCCCTCAGTAGATGGCTGCAGTAATCATATAAGTAGCCTTTTATTTCAGCATGAAAGCTTCCTTTACTTAAACATAAACCTCCTAGTGGCGACAGCTGTTATCAAGGGAAGCAGTCACAGGAGGGAGCCCTGAAGGGCCAGGGCCCTGGGGTGGGAGGCTGACCCGGGCAGCGGCTCCGGGTGGAGCAGACGGCAGGCCCTCCTTAGCTTAGCGCTGTGTTGAAGGAACTTTCCCAAACACACTCTTTCTCACAGTCCTTGCTCCAGAGAAAGGTAATCATTTCACAAGCAAATGCCCTCTGTGCAGGAATTCATTTTCAGTGCACATTCTACCTCCATAGTTTCCCAGGGAACTTGTTAACACACAGCTTTGTGGGTCCCCCTCCCCAGAAAGTCACAACGCAGGATGTATGGGCCGGGGCAGGCAAGGGCGTTTTCACGGACCACTCCAGATGGTTCTGAGGCGGGTGTTCAGTTGGTCGGTCACCCTAGGGAACACTGCATAAGCATGCACCCAACAGGCAGTACTGTAACCAAAACCAGAAACTTTTGAACTAATGAACATTAAGTGATAGTGATCAATGAGCCATTCATTAGGGGTCATTGAATTTTAACATATAAACATATAAGCAGGAGACGTCACTGCTAAGGTAGGAAAACAACTCATTATGATACCATTTCAGATTTAAATATAAAGCCTGCAGGGTAGAATTATAGGGATGGGAACCTTTCCTGCATTATTTTGCCCTTACTCTGGACTGATGACCAGTTCTCCTATTTATAGACTCTTCGGTGTGCCAGGGGGAGCTCGGCTTTAGATTCAGGGCAAGCAACTCTCAGATGGCCCGCCGACCCGAGCTGTTAGTCCTCGGGCTATGCTGCTTTTGTCCTTCCTCGTCTGGAGCAGGGAGGGGGGAGAACATTTTCCCTTTATAGCTCTGAGGAAGGGGAGAACTGTATAATGCCCCACCCCACTTCTGGGAAAGAACTGAGTGTAAGTTACTCATCTACTGTGAAGACAGACTTCAAGAGCCCATAATTTTGAATTTTTTGTTGTTAACATCTTCTCACCTATCTTGGCACCTCCAAGCACCTTCATCCCTAAATAGAAGAAGGGTTTTTCTACTTCCAGGTTGAAATTCTGCATTTTCAAATTTGCATAAGCTATTAAAAGACTAGAAATAATTTTAAAACGATTGAGATTGCCATGTTGATGATAGATACACAGAGACCGTGTGGATTGCCGCTCACAGACCCACACCAGGGCAAGGTATGTGGGTACTTACTGTAGGGGCATCCGTACACCTCGACCCGCATGCCAATCTTCCCACTTGGGTTCCATTCCAGGGGCACAAAGCGGATGAAGCGGGCTCTCTCCGAGTGCAGGAGCCTGTGAAGCACCACGCCGTCTGCATTCGTGTTCCCTGCGAAGGTCTGTGGGGAGAAAGGGGGCCCGGTGAGACAAGGGGTGCTGTGTCTCTCCTTCACAAGCCACGGCTCCAAGAGCAACCTTGGAAATCCACAGTTTTTCAGAGAAAATACTCCATGTCTCAGACAGTTCAAATGAAATCTGGCTCTGGTGAAAATTCTGTGTGTGTGTTATATTTTTTCAGAAATACCGTGCATTATTCTTTAAGAAATATCCTTCCCCAAATTATATGAATAAACCACTCCTGACAAGTCATGAGATGTGACATCCCAAAGTTTCACAAGCAAATAACACAATGGTTCCGATATTCCCAGGGTCCCCATCACAGTGGCAGGGGAGGTAACCGGCTACCCACTTAGAAGGAACAGCTCTACTCAAGTGATCGCCACCATTAATTAAGGTCCTCCACTATGCTAAGCAGTTTTCATCATTATTACCATTTTGCAGATAAAAAGCTGAATCCAGGAGAAAGAAAGGGGGAAAAGACTTTCAGATCATCGACTTGGATAGTAATTGGTCTGAGGCTCAGTGCCGAGGCTGCCCTGTTCCGAAGCGCTGTTTCTCTCTGCCCCACACTCTTCAGCTCTCCTGGTGTTACAGGAGGGAGACCAGGAGGCTCTGATGTTTATGTGATTCATTTCCACATTTCCTTGTGAAGTTAAAGTGAAGGAACACACAGCCTGCTGGCTCTTTGACACTAAAGTTATGCCTCTTAGTTTCATTTGGATGAATGACTTCTGGAGTAGAAATTTTTCTGCAGATAGAATTCAAAGTGTCATACTAACCATTATTCCTCCCCACTGGGATAAAATAAATGCAATAGAAAATTTGCAATGTTACCGTTATTTTAAAGTATCGTTCACTGGCATTAAGTACATTCCCATCGACGTGAACCCATCCCGACCACCCACCTCCAGAGCTTTCTTACCACCCCAGTCAGACCTCCTCTCTCAGGCAGGACACCAGCTAGCACACTGGTTTGCCTGCCTCATTACGAGTCTTCTGCGACCTTCTTTTCTGATTCAAGAACTGAGATAAAGCATGCTTGCAAATACCCTGTGAACCTCATCCAACTAAAAGAAGATCCACTGATTTCTCAGTCAGCCAAAGTGAACAAAAAAATAAAGGATTTTAGCTGTTTAATGGAATCCATACTCGAAAGATCAAACTTCAACCTCAACTGTATCCTCATAACACCTGTGTGTGTCCAGGACCTTGAACGATCTGGCATGTCTTCTGTGCACACCGCCTCCACTGGCTAACAGCTCCAACTCGGGCAGCTCATCACGGCCACTCTTCTCCCTCACACGGTGTTTCTCAAAGAGGAGGAAGCTCACTTCCCGTGGTACAGCTGCGCCTGCCACAAATCTCTCCTGAACAAGCAGGCCTGAGAGGGGAGGCACTCCTGGAGTTCAGCTCCAACACTCCTCCTGCAGGCCCCTCAGAGGTCTGACCATTTCCCCTTCCCCCAGGAAAGGATGACACCACTTGGCAGGGTGATACTTTCAGCCACCCTGCTCCCAACTTCAGCAACTGGACAGACAGAAAACGTCCTCAGGCACCCAGGAAAGACTCTTCTCTGTGGACTTTAGTTCTTAAATCAGCTTACCTCTGTCCACTTCTTCAGTACGTGTGTTCATATATACTGTATACATCAGGGGAGGGTCTAGTGGTTTCTCTTTGTTTGGGTGGAGTGAAGGCGCTTCATGTCTTTTTTTTACAGCCTAACAGGGGGGAGGGGGGCTTCGGTTCGTAATCTGATACCCTCTGACCCGTGTGCTGCAACCCCCTCCTCAGGTCTGAGCATCATGTATCTAACCCAAATTTTCAATAGGACCCTATTCACATGAAGATAATGGATGCCCTCTTCTGAGTTCTACATAATATGTAGACTGACTATGTCTTCAACTAATATGAAAATTCTGTTGTATAATTCAGATAAAAGTTTATTTTGTGAGCTTGGGACTCTTTATAGGATCTTTTCACTCCGGCATTATGTGCTCTGCTGAGGGAAGCCTGGGTTCTTGACACAGCAGCATTTAGCCTGGCTATCCCACACTGGGCAAGAGCTTCATGTCCCTACATCACCCTGTGTGGCAGTCACACCACCTCAGAGTCCTCCTATCCCCAAACGATGTCATCTGCAGTTTCCTGGTCTCACTGGCTCATGTCCAAGCAGACCCAGGTCTCAAAAGGTTTGAGATCTCAAAGTATGTAATGCATGGCCTCAGGGCCCCCCTGCAGCAAGCAGCCTAACGTCCCCCAGGAAACACTCAAACCCAGAGGCACACTGAGTCTAAAGGAGGCTTCGATCAAACTCGCACCAAGTGCAGTTCATCTTATGACAATATCTAAGACAATCATCACAACAATGCAGGAAGTTGCAGGCTGGGCTGAACAGCAAGGGCGAATCTCCTTAGCCCCCTGGTGCTTAAATTCCACGGCCTTGTGAGAGGCACTGAAGCTACCACCCACCCAGAGCAGCTCAATCGCTGAAGGTCACAACTGAACAACAGTAAGAATGACAGCTGACTTCACATGAGAAATCAGAGTCCAGCCAATGCTGTAAGAAACTGTCAACCTAGCATCCTATACCCAGCAATAGCTTTCAAATCTAAGGAAAAACAGTTCCATGTAAATAAAAGCTGAGATAATGCATTACCTACAGACATGCACGGCTGAGACTTGCTAAGTGAGTTCTACAATCTCAAGGAATTGATGCAAAACAGAAACACCCGTGTTCAGGAAGGAATGAAGACCACTTAAAGTGGTAAATGTGTGGGTGAACAGAATGGACTATTTTTCTTTTTTTCTTCAACATTTCAAAAGTCAGTTCACAGTATAAAGGAAAAATAATGATGTATTGTGATATTTATAACACACATGGAAGTAAACAAATGTCAAAACCAGAGGATGGAATACAGGATCCATGGACTTACACTATTGGGATGCATTACTTATAAAGTGATAAAACAACAACTTGAGGTAAATGGTGATCAGTTAAGGATGCAAACATATAAACTAAAGAGGGAGAGCCACAAAACTATTAGAGAGAAAGAGTGGAATACTAAATCACAGTGACTGCAAACAGCCAAATCCTGGTGAACACAAGAGAGGAAATGAGAAATAAAGGACTAAGAGAGGAGAAAAAAATGTCAATATAATAGGCTTAAACGTACCCAACTGATAATTACATTGAGGGGAAAGTGAGCAAAGACTGTAATTAAAAGGCAGAAATTGTTGGGCTGGATGAAAAAGCAAGGCACATCTATATGCTTTTTACATGATACTCTCTTTCAGGAAGGGCATTGGCACGGTGAAAGCAGAAGATGGGGAATAATACATGCAAATAGTAGGCATGGTAAACCTGGAGTTAGTCTGTTAGTATTAGACAAAGCAGGCTGCATTACAAGATAGGAGACTTTCCAAAATTAAACAGATGAAAACCTAAACGTGGATGCAGTTCAACAGAGATCCTACGTACAGCAAGAAACACCTGACAGAAACAAAAAGGGAAAAAAGAAGCAATTCAACAACAGAGTTGGTTTTTAAAATCTCCCCTCAGTAATTGTTCAAATGAGTGAGAAATATCAGTAAGGACATAGAAGGTTCACACAGCCCCGAACAGAGAAATTGGCCTGACCGATGTATGCAGAATACTTCACTGAACAACTGCAGAATATACACTGTAGTATTTTTTTATTGAAATAAGGCTTATTTACAGCATTATACTGGTTTCAGGTGAACAGCTGAGTGGTTCCTGTTACATACATCACTAAATGCTCACCGTCCCAGGTGCGGTTACCATCTGATTGTACGTTGTTCCCAAGCACAGGCTGAATGTTCTCTAAGATGGACCATATATCCTAAGATAAAGTTACAGTGAGACCACAGTTTCTTTTCTGAGCACAATTAGATAAAATTAGGAATAGATAACTTATTTGGAAGATGCTGAAATGCTTGGAAATTAATCAACACGCTTCTAAATAACCTATAGGTCAAAGAAGAAACCCTTAAGGAACTTGGACCGTAGTTTGAATTGAATGGTGACCAAAACACTGTATCAAATTTTGTGGACCTCAGCCGAAGCAGTCCAGAGGACAAAACACATGGTTTTAAGTGCTTTTTTCTCCTGATAGTAAGAAAGTCATAAAATTAAAAATCTAAGTTTCCACCCCAAAAAGATAGAAAACAGGAAACTGAACTCAGAATATTAGTAGATTTGAATACTACTGTATGGCAATAAGAAACGTCAGTGACACACACGACACGATGCCTGTTGGCAAAAGGCGGCAGCCGTTACGGTGCGCACGGGACGGTCCTGTCGTGGAGTTCTGGGAGGCGCAGGACTAGGCCCGGGTGACAGGCTGCAGGTCAGTGACTTCCTTGTTGCTGGGGGCCAGAGAATGACTGTGAAGAGCACACATGAATTCCTTGGCTCATGACATCCTCGTGAAGTCAAAAACCTGTATTATCTTCATTTTAAAGATGAGACAACAATTTTGGAGAGTTTAATGTGGGTCATAAATCATAAATTGAGAAGCGATCAAACTGGGACTGGATTATAGAGATTCTGATTAAAGTTCAGTGACCCTTTCATCCCCATTACCACCCCTGTATGTCAGGTTTTTGAAATAGAAGAATTGCTGTGGCACAAGAAAAGCTGTTTCGGAGGGCGTCCTCTAGCCCGACCCTTGCTGGCCCTCTGCATATTCCAGTGCCCTCCAGTTACCATCAGGAAGGCACCCCCATACGGGTGACCTGTGTGCGCTGGCCCTTCCCCCTGCAATGTGCAGCCACTCACTACCCTGCTCCTCACCGTCCCAGGAGCCTCTGAGGACCCCACAGCCTAAGTCGGCGCCACGCTGTAAGCACCGCTCAGAAGACTGTTTCCTTCTTGGTCCCCTCAAGCAGCAAGGGACAGGCCCAGCCTGTGAGGCTCAGGAGGCCGCCACCAGCACGAGCGGACAGGAAAAAGGGCTGGGGGAACCGCCACCGGGGCACC